AAGTCCAGCTGTCATGGAGCAGGCTGACCATGAACAAGTAAATGACCCATAACATCACGTGGTGATAGTGCTATGGAGGGAAAAGAAAGGGAAGAAAAGGGGACAGGTGTGGGGAGAGTGGTGGAAAGTTCTAGCTACTTTCTAAGGAAGTGTTTTTGTTTTTTAATTAAAAAATACTTTAAGTAGTAGATGGATACAATACCTTCATTTTATTTATTTACTTTAGTGTGGTGCTGAGGATTGCCTCTCACGTGCTAGGCAAGTGCTTTACCACTGAGCTATAACCCCAGCCCATTTTTTTTTTTTGTGTGTGTGTGTGTGTTTAAAACTAACATCCATGGATGAAACTAATCATGCAAAGAGCTGGGTTCCTGAGGCATAAACTTCCTGGTTTCGTTTGAGAGACACAAAGAAAGTTAGTATGAGCCGGGCACAGTGGTGCATGCCTGCCATCCCAGCTGCTGGAGAGACTGAGGCAGGTGGGATTGCAAAGTTCAAAGCCAGCCTTAGAAACTTAGCAGGGCCCTAAGCAACTCAGCAAGACTGTCTCAAAATAAAAAATAAAAAGAGATGGGGATGGATCAGTGGTTAAGTGCTCCAGATTTCAATCCTTGGTACAAAAGAAAAGAAATTTAGTATGAACAGGTGAGGGACAAGGGGGAGGCAGAAGACAGCTTGAATGACTTCAGCTAAAGAGTTCAGATTGTATTCTGAGTGAGCAAGAGAGAGAGATGGAATCTGATTTTATATTTGTAATGGCACTCTGCTGTGTGAACAAATGGGGAAGGGGGAGAAAAAAGAGACAAGAGAAGAGGAGGGGACAAGTGGCTCACTTGGAGGCTCCCTCAGTAGATCAGGAGATGACAGCATCTGGCTGAGCTAAGCTGTGCGCTAGGCAGCAGTGGGGTATTTGGATGTGCATTTTGGAGATGCAGTTAATGACATTATAATGATGAATTGGATTTGGAATACAAAAGAAGAGAAACCCTGAACAACTGCGTGGATGTACTATACTGCCATTTGCTGAGACGGAAGATGGTTAGGAGGTTGGGGTGTCTAAAGTTTGTTTCAAACACATTAGCTTTACAGGGCCTATCAGATATCGGAAGGCAAGTAGTTCATCAAATCCATAACTGTGAATTTTGAAGGAAGAGATTGGGAATATGTATACATATATATGTTATATGATGGTGCTATGATTTGGAGTTGGTGTGTTCCCCAAGGGTTCATGTAGTGGAAGCATAGTCCCCAGTGTGGCAATAGAAGAAGATGATGGGCCTTTTAAAGAGGTAGAGCTTATTGGAAGGTCACTGCGAGCAGGCTCCTTGTCAGAGATTAAAGTAGCTCTTGGGGGACCCTGGCTAGTTCTCATAAGAGGGTTATTTAAAAAAAGAGCAACGCCGGCTGCTCCCTGGTCTCTCTGTGGCCTCCTATTTCACCATGTGATCTCTCCCCTTACAGGCATGTCTGCCATGTTGTTTTCTGCCATGATATGATGTCATCAGATGGGCCCTGGCCAGAACAGTGCCATGCTGTTTGCATTTTTAGTCTCCAAAACTGTGAGCTCCATAAATCTCTTTGTCAAGTAACTAGCTCAGGAATTTTGTTATTAAAATGGAAAGTGGACTGATATAGAGGGTATTTAAAGCAATGAGATTGAATAAGCTCTCCTTGGAGAGAGTGGAGAAGGTAAAGAGAAGAGGACAGGTTTTACACATTGCTGTCTCTGTACCCTGCCCTCCACCTCCCACCTCGGTGTCCCCGGAGACCTCTCCACTTTGGAATGAATAGTGATATTTTCCCTCCTTTGTAGGGACTGTTAAGATACCCATGGATTCTAGATGTTCCAACCTCTGTAGGTTCTACATTGTATCAAACATATTAAAATTCACCTTCATCCTACATTAAATTTAATTATATGTGTTCCCTTAAGAGTGAAGTTACAATTGACTAGTTTGACATGTTATGTTTTGTAGATATTTAATTAAGATATCATTTGATCTTGACCTTTGCAGTTTTATTTGTGCATTTCAGAGCCAGCTCTATTTGTAATGTCTCATGCTATTTTTGGATGCCCTTGGCGAGCTTTGCAGTACAAGGGCATGAGACCCCAGCACCTCATGGGTAAAATGAACTAGAGTCTCTGGACTTTCAACAATATTTATGCCTTCTTAAAGGCGCTTAAATCACTTCATATTATAACCATGTGTTTTTATGTCTGTTTTTCTCCATTGGATGTTAAGCTTGAAGAACCTTAGAGCTCTGTGTGTGGCAGGGACTCAGAATTGTTTATTTATGGAAGCAATTGATTTTTACAAATAAGAAAAAAAAACAAGTCCAGGGATACATTGTGCTCTCTATCTTCACTTAGGAAAGGGCTCTCGCCCTCCACTTTGCACACAAGTAATGTGAATTTGGTAAAAGGAGGCAGTGTTATACACAAGGTTGAAGTGTTGGGCACACCTCTGACTAGCTGTGAATCTTGCATCAGAAAATTAATCTCTATAGACCTGATTTTTGTATAGGCCCAATTAAAGCCATTTTTCTAATACCTTGTCAACTTTAAAACATAGTATTCTTAAAATAATGTATACTTTTTCAAAAAAAAAAAAAAGAAAAAAGCTTAAGATCTTTAAATTCGGGACTCGAATGTTTCTGTTATTTTCTAGAAAGTGAGATGCAAAATATCTTTTGGTGTCAGGACCCCTGGCTCTAAAAAACAAAACAAAACAAAAACAAACCTAAGACAGGAGGGAACCCCCCCACCAAAACAACAACAAAAACCTCAATGGCTTTTTAGGGACATCTTGTAAGAAAATCCTTCAGTAATAACCTAGTAAAATGGTCCTTACAAGTCTCCTGGAGATAGAGAATGGGAAGGAAAAGTAGCCATTCCAGGTCACGTTCTGGCCCTCTGAGACTTAATGATGCTGCATAATTGCATCCTGCTTGCTAAAGAACTGAATCAGTGCCAGACTGTCACCTCTTGTGAGGAAGAGGAGACATGATTATATGGAGTTCAGCCCAATGCTAGGTGCCAAGTAGCTCCAATGAGCCACACTGAAATTCAGTCCATCTTGGCTATGCCCTGCTAAATATGTCAAGGGCTCTAACATACTGTTGAGAACTTCTGATTTTATGAGTTGGCAACAAAAATAACATTTGGAAATGGATGTTGACTAGGGAAGAGAGGCAAGTTTATGCTTTCTGCCAGCTACACATATTGAGTTTAGGGTTCAGGGCCCAGCTTGGGCCAGGTGAGGTCAAACTGCAGCTGGCTTTTGTTCCCTTCTGCCATTTTATATTAGAGGATGAAAGGAGGGAGAATCAAATTTGCTAGGCCATGGTTTAAAACTATCCCTGGCATGTGTTCCCATTCATCATCCTGCTGTCTACCACGGCTCTCTTTGTGTAAGACTAGATGATAAAAATTATGAAGAATGCATATTTACTTTATATTTCTCCAGCATGACATTCCTTTTATGTGAGGGGGGATCAGGTGCTGTGTATTTCTGTCCTCAGATATAGTATGCCTTAGTGTTGCTCACTTGGACTGAGAAGCTTTAATTTAGAAGTTACCGAAACAACCACCTCCCTTCTCTACTAAGTTTGGAAGTTCCTCAAAATGAAGTGTAGATGGTTGAGAGGAAAATAATGGGTGAGATGGAAGAGGCTGGCATGTGATGAATAACCTCTGATACTGAGGTAGAAGAAAGGAGAAAATTCTGGTCCGTTTGTGGATGGGGACTGCCAGTTAGTAAGGTCTTCCATGGATAAGGGAGTTGAGGATGACGCACCATCCATCTTCTACAAACTATAAAACTGAAGATTTTTCTTGACTAATTTATAAAATGTTGAATCAGAAATGTCCTTTGTAGTGACAGACTAATTCGATTAAAAGCATGAAAACTTCTTGCTGTTCTGAATGTCTTACAAGCCACAGGTTTGCTGGTAATGAACTGATTCAAGTTCCATATGCTCCAGGGAATGTACTCCACCAGTTCAAGTCCAAGGAGTCTTTGCCTGTTCTGAGCTTAACAACTTAGTGTCTCCCACATTTTTGTTGTCTGTTAAAATTTTATTACTATTATTTTGAGTCCGGCTATGTCATCTCCATTAGCTTATTTAAAGTCCTTATGCCTGTCTTCTTATGTGTAAACAGAGGATAACACATGCACTTCTGCCCTAGTTTTTCTGATAAGAGAAATATTTACATCAGCATGTGCATGCTATCCTCACATTGCATAGCATATAGTAAGTGGTCAATAAAAATCACTCTCTTTCTCTCCCCTTATTGGGACTTTGGGACTGTACAGGCTCTCTTTTATATCTTTTGTATCCTGAGATCTTTAAACCTTGTTGGAGTTCAATTTGTTTGCTGTTTTGACTCATTTATCATTTCTCTTCTTGAAAGGCAGGGCATCAAAACTTCAAGGCTAGTGACTGCATCTCAAGCAGGTGTTACAAAGGCTAACACTCCGCTGCTGATTTTAGCTCACAGTCCAGTCCCACCTTGTGGCATGTACTGGAGATGGCTTTTAGACAAAGTCATGCTGTCGACATCCAGGGATACAGCCCATCAACTTTACACAAGATGTCAGCAAATTGAACAAGGCCATCTTTCCCCTTAACAGCACTTAGGCTTCTCACCTCCTTGCCCACCACCAAGTCCCTACACACACAGACTGGAGGTGTGTGCAGCACAACAAAGGAAGAGTAGCCCGGTTGGCCCCACACAGGGCACCAACACGTGCATAATCTCATGGAAACTATGTCAAGCTTTATAGATTTTTTTCTCTGCCTACTTCCTAAAAATGTCCAAATCTCACCTGTGTCCCTCTTGCACCACTCTTGCTTCTTTCTCCCTCCATTTCAATCCCCACCTCTGCTCAGATGTTCTTTTCTAACTTTCCTTCATGTCCTGCGTCTATGTGGAAACAGAGAATCTTCTCAGCTTACCCTTTTGAGAGTTGTTTATGCATGGGTATGAACAGATCAAATAAACAGGAACTTAGGTTAATTTAATAGAAAAAATAAAATATGGAATAACATTGATTTTGGCCAGTATCAATTACAACCATTCTACTATATTTTACAAAAAAACAACTGAACATTTTACACATGTACAGTATTTTTCAGTAAAGTGGATTTGGATTTAACAATGGGTCACTTTTAATTAGTGAATTAAAAATAAAAAAGACAAAAGAGAACAGAAGATAGGGCTTGTCTCTAGAAGTTTAGCGCATTTGTCATTTCTCCAAACTTTGTACTATCCATTACATATATCTTATTATGAATATATATATTTATACATAATATATAACATTAACTTAAATTTTGAAAGCATTATGTTCTAGTTAATAATGTTATGTAGATAAACGAGGCAGTAACACACTAGTAGTTAAACGGGTATTTCCATGATGTGCACCGGCCACCAGTGGGAAATGGAGCGTGCGCTGGTGGACCCCAGTGAACTTGGCTTTCATGTTGATGGCTATTTGTCTAAGAACACAGATATCCTTTTTATCTTTTCTATCATAGTGACCATGGGCCTTAAATAGTATGGGTTAATTCAATTAGCTGGATCCCCTTGCAGGCGAATCTGGTTTTGCCATCTGCTTGAGCTTGCTTTAGGCTTGCATTGCCACTTCTCCACTTAAAGACTGTGCCTTTAAGTGTGAAAACTAACTATATGCTCTACCCAGAGTCAACTTTGGTTCTGTGTCAGAAGGGCCTGCAGTGTTGTAAGGAGGAAAGTTGTTCAGCAAGATCAGTTGGTTTCCTAGTTACTTATGAATTATTATGTGACTCGGTATAGCTACAATGCTAGAAAGAGGGTCATTAGTCTATTCATGTGTCATTCATTCGCTTTGGGTTGGAAGTTAACTCAGATGTCTAGGAATATTTTCAAGGCAGGCTTTTTACCAGCTTGCTGCTTGGATTGGGAGCTTAGCATCATTCCCAGCTCCTACCCAGGATCATCTATATTGAAACAATTCCTCTTCTCAGTTGTGAAGCCAGCGGCATCTTGGAAATAAAGCTCTCAAAAGCTGAAAACCTGCAAGATGGCTGGTCACTCCCAAAACAAATGAGGTCACCAATGGAACTTTGTTAGGAAAAATAAAGAAACTTATTATGGGTCTGCCCTTCCCCAAACAGAGAAATTATGAAAAAATTTATCAGGTTTCCTCATTTCTGATCAATGATCTGAAGCATTTTTCTTATAGTTCCATCTGCTAGATTCCATGAAATGTTTATGGAGTCACAGAGAAGCAGTGAAGAAGTTTCTAAATCCACACTTGCAAAAGAAAAAAACCCAAAACCAAAAAACCCAGATGATCTCAATAACATTCAGTGGGCAGGTGTGTAAGTGCATGGCCTGGTTATAGAAGGACAGAAAAGTGAGAAAATACAGAACCAGGAGGGGACAATCATGCCACCCATATTCAATTTCCAGTTTTATTTTCTTAAAATGACAAGATGAAAAAACTTCTAATAAGCACCATTGAAAAACATTGCCCGGCCAACATGAGCACGAGCTTAAATATTATTTAAATAAATTCCATTTCTTAAAAAATACAGGACCTCTTAGAAACTTTTGACTCCAGGAAGAAATTTCCTGCACCATACCCAAAATGCTTCCCACTATGACAAATGGAATTTCTGATGGCCTTTGGAGAAAAAAAAATGCTATGGATAATGGCTAGATAGCACCAAGAGATTGTGCAGGGTCTACAAAATGAACACTCTGAATTTCAGGGGAGCTGGGTCAGTCTCAGCTCTTTCTTGTACCTCTGCATTGTTTCCATCGCCAATTTGACTGTACAGAACGATCCTATTTGACCAGCTGTGTATAAAATAACCTAATCTACAATGGAAAAGCCAGTAGCAGCAAGTCTATCGATGAAACCAGTGGAGCAGACTTATCAAGTGAGTAAAATGCAAAAACCAGTACATAACGCACCAAGTAAATTAGGTGTGGAAAGCATCAATGCTGAACTGTGAAATACTAAGACAAACACCAAACCTAACTCTGGAGGATGTTCTTACTGCCCTCAGGTCCAGTTTCCTGTCCTTTCTCCCAATGGTGGGCTCAAGTATGCAAAATGACGGATGAGAGAGCTTTCTTTTTCCTTTTGATCTACATATGCTCTTGTGATATTTTGGAAAAATCTTTTTAAGCATCTCAAAGGGGAAACAAGCAACTCAAGGCAAAAGGAAAAAAAAAATGGACCTTCAAACCCAGGGCAGGAAATCAAATCATTACTTGAACGTCAAATTTTGGCATCAAATACTTTGGTCATACAATACTGTCTCTGTGGTTCTGGCTGTTTAGTACTAAACACTAAACACCCAGTTATAAAAGGTAGGCTTGTTGTTGGTTTATTATTTTTTTTCCATTTAAGTTCTGACAAAACAGTTCACCATCTCCCTGCACAAACTTGAGAGAGAGAGAGAGAGAGGAGAGAAAGAAAAAAAAAAAGAGCAAGAAAGAGAGAGGTGGCTTGCTTTTTTTTTTTTTTGGCTTTTTTTTTTCTTTTTAATAATATGGAATAATCTATAAGTCTACAGGAACAAAGAAATCTAAGATGGCTGCTCAGCCTTGGAATGTACATGTTTTGCAGCAAAGTTGTTGAAGAACCTTCCGTTGGCACAGATTGTTCTTTTTCACAAGCATACAGAAGCCTCCTTCGGCCCAGGACTCTTCCGTTGCTTTTCCGGAAGTCAGCGAAAGAGAGGGGGAGTGGAGGTCGAGAGCAGCGTGATGCACACACACGGAAGGAGGTTTTGATTGGCCAGAGAGGCAGATTGGGAGGTTGGAAGAGATCATTCAGGAGCAGTCAACAAGGAGAAAATTTGGTCCACCCAAAGTGATTTCAGGCAACAGCATTGGTTTTCAAGGAGAGATATTGCAGTCCAACGGTAAATGTGATTGGTATCCATTTGTGAAAGGGAAAAAAAAAGATTGAAAAGAGAATAAGTTAGAAATCAATAATAACACAAGCAAGGAATTTTTCTTTTCAGAATTACCTAGAGCAGAGAATATACAGTCATTTATTCCATATTTCATTGAAGCTAAGACACAGGATTTACCATGCAGCATTACCTTAAGAATCACAAGGGAAATAATGCTTCTTATTAAACTGTGACACAATGCTCTCATCAATTAGAATTTTAATTTTATTATTATTTATTATTTTTAATATTAAAAATTATGATTTTATCATTTATTAGTTATTATTTTTATTATTCATTATTTTTATTTTATACTTTATTTTACTTATTAGAAATAATTGTTATATGATGTCCTTTTTGGTTTCTGTGATTATACAATCATCCTTCCTTTGAACATCGAACAACAAACAATTCATTATTTGGAAGCTCTTTTGAGATGTTATTCAAAGTCATACAAGAAGTAGTAGCTATGAGCTTAATCCAGTTAACAGACACCTCTGTACCTAAGTCTCAGGCCACACCACTTAAATCCTATGAACCCACTGGTCAAAAGAGTTGTAAGCTGTCATGAACTATCAGGTGCGTCTGATTTCAGAGATGTTAAAATGCAAAACAAAACAAAAAATCTTATCTTAGAATCATGGAAATATGAAAGTTGAAAGGGAACAAACAGCACAAATATGTAGTTGCCTTATTATTTGATGCTACCAATGGTGTCATTCTTTCACTAGTTCTTCATTTTCCACTTCTGCTCACAATCCCGACACTCCTCTTTTACCAAAATGCCATTTTGCACAACTTAGTCCACGCTCACCAGGGTTCAGTGAAAGTAGCTAAAGCATCACAAACCTTCAAATGCCTGGTACAAGAGCTGGAGGCAAAAATGTCAAGTTACAGTGGATGTCCCATGTTAACCACCTAAAAGCCTTTCTCAGTTTTGTGGTTACCTCAGAGTGGTGTAGTTGGAATTAGCCTTGGTTAAGAAACTCTGAGAACAAAGCACCTGAGTGGGTCCTGACCCTCCCTGTCAGACCAATCACACATCAGAAAAGCTATGAAGATGCAGTCACCTTTGATGGCTCATGCAATAAGCCATATGTGCTGTCATAACAGTGCCATCATGCCCCATTCCTTCTGATGCCTTCTTGAAATTCCTAAGATGGGTTGTGGAATAACCTCACAAGGTCACAGTTTTATCTTGTTCATTTTGTGCAGGTGAGGGGAAAGCAGCCTAGAGAATTTCATAACCTGCCCCAGGTCTAGAGCCCAGGTATGAACTATGGTGTTTTGATTCCCAAGTCCATATTTTGCCAATCACAGAACTGTTCTGCCTCCCCTAAAATTTCCAGAAGAGGGAACATTCCAAAGAAGGCAAAGAATGAACCTAGGCAATGATCTTATCATTGAGACTGTTCCACATGCATGCCTTCTATTTTTATAATGAATTTTTATGAAGATGTTTAAAACATCTTTGGTTCCAAACAATTTCTTTCTATATCACTGAGATGTATTTTCTGCATGAGGCTTAGGCAGATTTTATGGTCCCTTCAGCATGAACTACATGAGGGTCAAAGATCACATACATGTTGGAGTTGGAATAAATTAAACTCATTCTTTTTACAGATGAGAAAACTGAGTCTAAGGAAGTGAAAGATCTTGGCATTTCCCTATTAGAGGGATCAGGGCAGAGCAATAGTCTTTAAACTGCCTGCATCAGACACAGGAGAGGCTTCTAAAAATATCTATCCTCAGGCTAATCCCAAACCAATTCAATCAAATCTGTGGGGAAGCTGCAGGATCATGGCATTCTGCTTGGGACTCATCAGTACCAAGAAAGTAAAAATGGACTAATATTTAAAAATCTTAACTTCGATACTTTGGTTCGGCACTTTCTACCATCACATCTCGGGTTTTCCCTTCTATATAAGTCTGGAATGTTGATTCCTAGCCTTGTAAACTTCATGAAAGATTCAGAAACCATTTGATTATCATTTACATATCACAATTGTAAGCAATACAAATAATAGGAGTGATAGAAAAACTAAAGTCTTTGCATGATTGAATTTTATGCTATTATTAAAAAAAAGTTTCCAAAGACTTTGTAAAAACATAGGACAAAGGAAAATGCCTATGTATAATGCTTAGTGCAAAAAGCAGGATATAGAACTCTGTATGTGGCATTTAAAAAACTGGGTAAGAAGTACATATGGAAAAATACTGGAAAGAAATACATCAAAAATTAACTGGAAAAGGCTGCATACTGTGTGATTTTAACATGTTAAGAGGAAACACTGTAACACTTTAAGGGGAAAATGTATGGAGATAGTAAAAAAAAAAGAGTGATTTCTATGGGGATGGAGGAAAGGAAGTATCAAAAGGTAGAAAACAGAAGATTTTTAGGGTAGTGAAGCTGCTCTGTATACTGCAATATACAGAGTATATAGATACATGTAATTATACATTTGTCTAATTCCATGGAATATACAACATCAAGAGCAAATCCTAATGGAAATTATGAGCTTTGGATGATAATGAGGTATCCTTGTATGTCTAAGCACTATAAGAAATGTGCCTCTCGTGCTGGATGGTAATATTGGGGGAAGCAATACATGTAGGTATGAGGGGGATATAAGAGAAATCTCTGTGCTTCCTGCTCAGTATTTCTGTGAATCAAAAATGGCTCTAAAGAATAAAGTTTATTAATTAAAAAACAACAGTTGTCATCTTGGCCAATGGATCTATAGGTGATTGATTTCTTCCTGCAATTAAACAACAAAGCCCCACACTCATTAAGGGTTAAGTTCAAGAGGAAAGAATGCCAACAAGATATTGGGTATGTCCTATCTGATGCATGCTTGTTAATAATGGAAATAGGTTACACCTTAAAGTAGAAAGCTCATATTTAGCTCAAAAGATCAAAAAGAGAAGTTGTACTCACCATCCTTGCAGATAGCTCCCATTTGACACATTCCTAAGTCTAAGAGATACCCACTTGGGCAGCTGGTACAGTTCTTGAACCCTGGGCCATTACATGTCAAACAACTGGTATCGCATCTAGGGGAAAGATGTTCAATTTTTAAAATCCTTTCAGATATCATCAACACAAGATAAGTTGTGTTTACTATCAACATTATAATGTCTTAAATTTAATTTTCCCTTTGAAGATAACACAAAAATCTTTCTTACAATAATTTCTAGGTTTGATGACATTAAAACCTAGCCGGGAGACACTGATTTTAAAGGGAATATTATGTGTACTTGAAACAAAAATATTACTTTGAAAGTTTTAAGGGAGGCCTGAGGCCAAAAAAAAAAAAATCTGATAACTTGGGTTAGAGCTGTAGGGCAGTGTCCAAATGTAAAAGATTGAACTTTATTTTGTCATTAAAAACTCTTAAGTTTTCCCATTATTTTTGAAGGTAGTCCTATGAGGAACTAAGGTACTAAATGCTATAGTTGGGGACAAATCCACTTACTTTTTGCAGGATTTGTATCCATTTTCTGAAGAGTGCTCTAAGTAGTAACTGATACTACAGCTCTGCACGCATCTACCGTCTTCCATGTAGTAACCCTCTGTGCAATTAATGCAGCCATCAGCTCCTGCCCCTTTAAGCACAAGACAAAAATGCAAGATGCAGAAAAAAGCCTGAGTAAAGGTTGCATAATGGGCTCCTTCTTTAAGAGTCTGAAAATGGCATTCATCTATTATAATTTTAAGTGTCTTAATTTAATATTTGTGGTTTTCCTGACTTTCCTTTGTGGGGAGAACTCCTCTTATTTTAAATCAGATTTTCTTGCTAAAAATATCTGCTCTCACTGGAAAAAGATGTCACTGGGATATTTAAGTTTCTCAGTGAGGACAGGGTGCTGATGATTTGACTTACCACAAGAATACATGCATGATTATCAAAAGATAAATACACTCCTCCACATCTACTTTAAACATATGGGGCGGGGTGTGTGAGTGATGGCTACAACCAGACAAACAGAAGGAAAATGAGAAACACGAGAACAAATGGAAGAGCAGAGAGAAGGTACCAGCACAGGTGGCACAGAAGCGGTGGCAGGGCTGGCAGTCCTGGCCGTTGAAGTACTGTCCATCCTCGCAGGTGACAGAACACCGGGATCCCTGCAGGCTGGGGGAAACGTAAAACAGAGTTCTAAGCAGATTGTTGTGATCAAGGCAAAGCAGTAACCACTCCCCAGATTCCCTATGTAGCAAATACAGCCCACCAGAGACCAGTAGATTGTGGGAAAGCTTCAACACAGGGGGAATGACCCTATGTCCTCTTTTTCCCGTCTTGGTACCTAGACGGATGTCTGTAGCATATATACACGCTGCTAGGCTTTGGGTACATTCTCCTGAATTGGTTAGACTGGCAGACACCCTCCTATTTTACTCAACATCTGAAGGTCCAGAGGTCTCAGAAGGTCCCCAAATGATGATGGAACAATCACATTACCTAACAATATGCCCAGCAGTTCCCTAATATCCAGACTCACTCCACTATAAATTTAAAAATTGTTCCATAATTCAAAATGCAGTAGGATCACATGGTAAAATGAAATACAACTGAATAAAAGTGTAATAAGGATCCCTGGGTAGACTCCCTGGAGTAGCCTTTTATGTTTTTAAGTGTTTCTGATTTTTACCTCCTATTGGTTCCATCAAAGAACAAAATTGTTGAGCTAGGAGTGTAGCTCAGAGGCAGAACATGCGCTCAGCATGCTTGAGGCCCTGCGTTCCATCCCCAGCACTACACACACACACATGCAAATAAATTCTAAAACACTTTTGCCTCTACTTCTTGATTTTTTTCATTTAAAACAATAATGAGGAATTTAGCAAAATTAGCTACCTACAATGCTGCTTTCTCAAGTATTTTATTTTAGTTATATTACTATTTACATGCACACTCGACATGTTCCCCTGTTTGTTCTTAGCCACTATTTAAAAATTTACAAGTCCCTGGAGGCCAAATGGTCAACCCCAGAAGTCTCTGGGAACACACAAGGAGCCTCAACTAGATGAAGGGCAGCTCACCAAAAGCGCACTTGATTCAGACGGTCTCACTGACCAGAGAGCTGTTATTAACGAAACCAATAACAGGAACTCCCTCTCCCTTTCTATAGTGTTATTAAAAGACACTGCATCAAATGGATCCTTTAGTGGGATGAAATAGTGACCACCAAAAATATTATCAAAATTTTAAAAGAGCTGCCTGAGAAAGGGCCATGCTTCTGAGGTTGGCATCTATTCAGCTGGAGACAGAGCTGCACTGTGTGCGAAGGAATGAACGAAGGGGGTCATGCAATGGAGAGCAGCCACAGAACCCTGAAGCCACCACACACCCCTGAGCCCAGTTCTGTGGATGTCTCTCTTCCGTTTTTGATAAACTGGCTGTTCAGATCTGTGCTGTCCATGGGGCTACTGCTGAAATGTGGCTGAACTCCTGAACTGAGTTTTACATTTTAATTATTTAAGTCCAAATTTGAAAAACTGGTACTTGATTTAGTTATTGGCAAACTTTTGAGTAAATCTGGAATATCTTGGCTTTGTAAAATCTACTTCTTCAACCAGATTTTAAAATATCTGCATATAGATATTTCTCATCAAAAATTGTCAGAATCAAGATGGACTTTAAGAGCATACACACCAAGTTTCAATGACTTAATTCAACAACAAAAAAGAAGGTAAAACATCTCATTAATAGTTTTTTTTATGTTGGCTCCATGTTGAAATGATAATATTTTGGATATATTATGTTAAATAAAAGGTTTTATTGAGAACAATTTCCCCAGTAACTTTTTACTTCTTTTAATATGGCTCCACTGTCATATTTAAAATTACATATATGGCTCTCATATTTCTATTGATATACACTGATTTCACTTTCTCTATAAAATTTTCCTAAGAGAGTTTCTCTAAGAAAAAAAAATGTAAGTAACCTTTTTTTTTAAAAATTTCTCATGGACCAATTATATAACATATGCAGAAATAGGTACTTCATACATGTTACCACGATTTATTTTTTATCATCATAGTCCAGTAAAATAGGGTTATTTGTACCATTTTATACATGAGAACATGGAAGCTCTGAGTGGTTAGGTGACTTGCCCAAGGTCACCTTAACAGTAAAGGAGGATTTAAACTCACATCTTCCTTATTCCTTCCTATTACGCCACCATGTTGCTTTTCCAAGAAGAATTACGAGGCTGAAGGGTCTGACATTTATCAAAATTGAAGTGTCAAGATACAAGGCGCTAAGCAAACTAATAATGCATACAGTTATGGAGGAAAAAGTGATAAAGCCACAAATAATGGATGGTTCTAAATGAAAACAATGTTCTAATACTGATTAATGTGAAGAATTGTCTGACTGAAAATTGCATGGACCCTGTCCATTTGACCTCTGATCAGAGGTAGAAAACAAAGACACTCTCAATACTGAAAAAGAATCCAGTGCAGGAGAATTCTAACTCTAAGTTAAGTCAGAGTCCAACTCCTCACTCAATGTGGCACGGTCCAACCTTCTTTCTGAGGTCAGGTGGCTGAGTTTGTTAGAGCTGCAAAGTGTTTACATACAGAGTCTAACAACTACCTGGCTTCAGCAATGAGCAAGCCATCCATTCAAGAAAAACATCTTCTGTGTTAAATCGATGTGCATAACATCACATAATGGAGCCAAGCCTGAGGTACCAAGATAAGAGAATGACTGGGTATGTGCAGAGAAATAATAAAGATAAGGGAATAACTTTGCACCATCCAAGGAATTTAATCAGGGGGATTAAATATAATTCATTGGCATTACCTGCACAGTAATCCTTGACTGGCACAATGCAGGTCAAAAAGTAAGAAGAATGCCTCTCAAATGGTCATTTTTATTGACTTGTATCTGAGTCATGTTTTTTCCAGAGAATTTACTTAGTTTATAACCCTCCCTTAGCCAAGATGGCACCCAATTTTTCAGATATAAGGTTAGAGGTAATGCAAATAGGAATCAAGTGCTTCAGTGGAAGTCAAACCAAGGGAAGGAGATAAAAGGGCTATGTATATACTTATTTATTATTAAATTTTTTTATAGTTGTAGATGGACAGGATACCTTTATTTTATTTGTTTATTTTTATGTCATGCTGAGGGTTGAACTCAGTGCTTCACACATGCTAGACAAGTGCTCTCCCACTGAGCTCCAGCTCTGGCCCTACTTTTTCATTCTTATTTTTTAAAAATTTGTTTACATTGAGAAACTCCAGGAGCTGTGTTATTGATGAAGTCCTCCACTCTCTTACCTTAACCCATCCCTGCATTCCGTACAATTATGGGATTCAGTACATGTCTTGCAGTTTTCATTGCATTTCCGGCAAAGATTTTTCTCTATTAAAAAATGAAAAAGAAATAAAGTTATGGACTTGTTGTTCAATTAGAGTGCATAAAAGCATGTGGAGATGGTCTAATGACTGCAATATATACTACAGTGCCCATGCCTTGAGAAGCAAACTGTAGGAAAGCCAGAATCACCATTTGTTACCACTTCTCTGATAACTGAATACAGGCATGAACTGTTATGCTGGGAAATACCTCACACTCATCTGCTACCCTGTAGACAAGAGAACTGCAGCCCACTTAGTTCTTAGTTGAGTAGTTTTATTTTTCTTCTTTCCATTCTCCTTCCCAAACAGGGTTTCCTAACTTCCAGCATTGAAAATCTCACTCATTAGGCTTGTATACCACCACTAGGCAAGGACTGGAAAGCAATGTGGTGAAATGGGACTGTTGCCCTCCAGGCCCATAGCTCTCAGGACTATTCTTTTGAACTAACTAGCAAAAGGAACCTGTACTTAATATTGTGAGATAAGGGTTGCTTATTTCTTGCATTGTCTAAAATAGTGGCTTGCGCTCTACTGCTGCTGTGGAATTGACATGAATATTATTATTTTTCAGATAATATCTATATTCTGTAGAATAAAAATATATTTGATTTGAAAACGTACACTGTGAATAATGGCTTCCCTGTTCACTTCCAAACCCTGGTCCACACTGGAAAAAAAAAAGGCAAACGTGCAATTGTTCTACTGTGAAAAACAGTGATTTGGTGTGTTAAAGAAGCCCTTTAACTTTGAATAAAATTTTGCTGGTAACTTGGTATCTTCTTTGAAATGCCAGTGGGTTATAGTCACACCTGTGTGTAGAACTGAATGAAGCTTTGTTCACAGGTTCTCTTACCTGCTCTTTAAATGCTGATGTTCTACAGAGTTCCACAGAGAAACACTGCTTCACAGATCCCTACAAGGTCCTACTGGATCAAGGTTTAGCCTCTCAGCACGAAACCCAAAGCCCTTGGCACAGTTATGGTAGTTGTTACATGGTCTCCTTCACTATGCTATTGAGAATACTGGATATGGCCTAGGATCTGAAGGCAGAGATTCTAGATTTGCATTCTGCTTTTAGCACTTCCAATGGGCAAGTTCTCTCTCTAGGTAAATGGAGATTACAATGATACCTACCTACCAGCTGTCCTGAGAAGTTAATGCAGTTTTTCAAAAGGGTGATATAAACTGTAAAGCACTGTAAATGTGTTGGCAGTAACTATAAGTCATGACCATACATGACTAATATTGTATATAAATAGGCTCATTAAAAGATGAAACTATAACAAAAGGCAGTTACATGGGAAAGAGATACATAGACCACAGGAATCAATACAATGTGGTAGCGAAAGTAATTATTTGAACATCTTTTCTTACATATCCATCTCCCAAGCTCTCTGGAAAAAAAAAAAACTATAAGGGGACTGGGGATGTAGCTCAGTGATAGAGTACATGCCCCAGGTTCTATTCCCAGCAATCCCTACCCCCAATTTCAATTATCTTGTGTGTGGATTGTTGTTGTTGTTGTTATATAACATTTTAGAACCAACTTTCTTTTCCAAGGCTCATGCTTCGTAACAGATCTTGACTTTATTTTCCCTAATAAATACTGAATATTTCTGTGGATCCTTTATGCCCCTTCCTCTCTCCCAATTTTTCTTTTCCCTGTCATGTTCCAAATTTGGAGACAAAAAGGAACTACAAGAGAATCCCTACCCATTGCACTGAAGGGTAAGATACAGAACCCACATGCTACGTATGGAAGTATGTAGTACCTTTGAATCAAGAGAATTTCACTTCATAAGAAGCAAGGGCAACTGCTTCAGACTTCTTGTCTGATTTTTTTTTTTTTTAAACAACTCTTGCTTCTTTGAACTTTTTTTAAATAAATTTTTTAAGTTGTGCAGAAACATGATGGATTGCTGTCATTAAATATCGTGGCATCATACCTTATTAAGACAAATTATCCAGAATTCAGAAACAAATCAAAGATACCTGTAGCCTTTTTTAAGGGACATACTGGAACACTATCTAACAGGTCTGCCCAAAGATTAATTCTCTAAGGCAATATGGCTTTGCTTGTTTGCTAATTACAGCTGAAGAGAGCCCAAACTCTAGCGTCACATGTTCATGCATGAATTTTTGTCTGGCAAAGTTGTTAATATTCTTTGTCCACTAGAAAAAGACTCCCCATAATTTGAGTTGTCTTGCCATGTAGGAAATTATTCAATTTTTTTTCTGTACACAAAATTGAACAATTGAAGGATTTCATTTTGCCATTCCTGGTGGACTAGCAATCTGATCATTTTTTAGCCCACTTGTCATTATGCACGTTCCTTTATTAATGAAGTAAGTGTCTTTGACATATGTTCATTCTACATTTATAAGAAAGTCAAACTTTTTAAACTTTTAAAAAAGTATACTTGGATAGCATACAGGCCTGATGCCTTCACAGTGAGTGTGCAGAAAAGATTGATCTAGCCACTATTCTTCCAAGACTCCTTATCAAAGTGGTCCATGGCTGGTACCTTCAATTAGAATTTGCGGAGGGCTACCATCATTCCAGTGAGACACCTTGCATTGTACAAACCTTGTATTAATAAATAGTTTATAGTAAACACCTATTTTCCTTCTAGGAGTCTAGAAAATTGGTGCATACTAGGCACTAGCTACTAGTAACAACCTTGGGTGTCAAGTCTCTACCGAGGTTCCCTGGTGGACAACTTCAAACATGTTGCCACAAATAAAACATGTCCTGTGTGGCTCCACTGGAGGGTGCTCTTGGAAGCTTGCATCTGCTTTCCTCTGGGCTTCATCATTTCCTGCTGCTGATTTTACTTTGTATCCCTTTGTTCCAGGACCCATAACTGTGAGTATAAGAGTTCAGTCTTATGAGTATTCCTAGCAAATTGCTGAGTGTAAGAGTGGTCTTGAAGATCCTCTGACAACAGTTAGTTACAGGCATTTTCACACAAAGCTTTTAAACCATCTCATAAAATTAAATTGGTTAAATTCTGTTTGACATTCAGCAAACCAGATTTCATAAAGGAGGAACATCTCTCCCAAAGTCACTCAAGTGAAAAACCCACATCTTCTCTAAAACCCAAATATTTGAAATCAACTCACTGGTGTCCTGATATGACCCATCAGGGCAGTGAATAACACAGCTGTTGGTTTCTTCATTCAGGAAGTACCCATATTTACAGGAGAGGCACTGATCACCATGGCTCCCGAAACAGGACTCACAGTTGGGCGCACATTTTCGGCATCGCTTCTTGTCTGCGTAGTAGTGGCCCGGGGGACAGCTGGAGACACAGATCCTGCATTGGAGAACAAGAAGAGAGATGGTATATCACCAGCCACTTGCCCTCAGCATTCTCCTGGAGTGGCTAAGCAAACAGTGGCCCTCAGCCTCAAAGTCAGAACACCAACACCAAATCCCTAGGATTCAATGCTGTTTGCTAAAGCTTCTTCCTGTACAGGGCTGAGGAGCAATGCAGTCACACAGCACCAAGTCACTCAGCAAGAGGGCTCTTGGTCCCAACCATCTCCTAGTGAAGGTCTGACTCCTCACAAGGAATAATGGGTACATACTTGGTGTCAAGAGCAAACTTGTAGTGGTGGATCAGAGAGAAGATATGTGGGAATCATGATTTTATGCTCAAAGGTCACTCTAACAAGGGTTTCTTCTATTTATATTGTTTCTCATGTGATCTGTACATGTGGGCAGTGGTTGCAGTCATATGCTATTATCTAAGTAAACATAAACATATTTAAATTTATGTTGCTTAAGAGAATTTGTTTTTTTAAAATAACTCCCTTGTTTGTCCATAACTGAAAGACAGTGCTTGATTTATTTATCCATTCAACACATATTTACTGAGCACCCATTAAATATCAGGCATTTTACTAAATTTGAGAGATAACAAAAACAGCCAAGGCCTTTTTCCTTGAAGAATTTAAATTCCAACATGGACTTAAAAGGAGGAATTTGACCATGCTTGGGTCTGTCTGGGTGTATTGGGTATGGAGGTACCAAAGTCAGCTCCCCATAGGGAGCTTTTGACTGAAGGAGTAGGGAGAAGGTATGGAGGGCTGTGAGAGGTGGGGTGGGGAGGATGGGCTCCACTGGGGTAGTCACTGTCCTCAACTCTGCCCCATATTTGTATAGCTCTGGTCAGAAGCCAGGGATCAGAGACACAGGTCCACCTCAGTGCTCAGAGTGGAAGAGTGAGGACAACCAGGGACCAGTCCCTTTGCCATGTGATTTTCTTGCATGTTGGGAAATGTGGGAAAGTATCAAGTTGGTCAATGCACTGACATGTTCGTGAAGGGCAAATACAGCCAGAGCATCATCCATCCGTGGGATGGAAATGACATGAACTTTAGTTAGACAGAAAAATTAAGTTTAAGATCTACTGTACATGATGGTATTAATAACAACATATTGTATACTTGCAAATAGCTAAGAGTAGATCTTAAGGGTTGTCACCACAAAAAATAATAAGAATGTGAGAGACTACACATATTCAATCATTCAATTTAGTCATTCCACAATGCATGCATATTTCAAAACATCATGTATGCATATATAATTTTTTCTTGTTCATTAGCACATTTGGGGTATTCCTTAGGGATCTGACATGGGGCCTCTCTGTTACCTGGTATTATTTTTCAGCTTGTAGTAGTAGTGCAAACAGTCATTGCAGTGGTCTGGTCCTGGCCCATCACAGCCAACCTCACTGCACTCAGGATCACAGGGACCTTTCCAAAAGAGATTAGAACAAAACTTAGAAAAAATAATGATTTTAGAAGGTCACCTTTCCCCCGACTAGGACCTTTCTTTTTTCTTATGCAGTGATACTTTCTTAGAGATGGAAGAGTAATGGTCAATGTGGTTGTAAGCCAGGAGATGAGCCTGACTTTTACTGGAAAAATTTCAAATGCCTAAGTATCAAGAAATTTGGTGTTGGCCTGGTCTTGTGGAAATGACAAATATTCCAGAATCTGAATGAACAAGGCCACTGTAGCAAGAGGAAAAAAATCAATATGCAATTAAATATGCATAATAATAAAATATAGGATTTGTAGAAAAAATGAGCAGTTGTTGACAAAAAGAAAAAAAGGTTATTTTTCAATGCCTAGAACAGATTGCCTATCTCATCCAAGGTCACCAAAGGCACTGAACACATCTGAAATAGTGTGGCCAGAAAGAAACATCATTATGGCATGTGGCACAAGCTTATCAGCATCTAGTCTTGGATCACAAAGCAGGTACTTCAGGCACAGATAATAGATTTAACATTGTGTCCAATCCAAAGGCCAGTAATCAGATCCACACAAGAAAATGACATACAAATTTAAAAATGTGAGCTAGCTTAAAGAATTCCAGGGGATGAAGGTTTTTAATTTCTCTCTCTAAATATTCTTTGGTTTAGAACTAGAGAGGATGTACAGTAAGGGAAAGATGACAGAAAGAGAGCTATTTTATGACTGATGGCAAAGCTTTCTGATGGCATGGACTGCTTATAGAAATTTTTACTTCATTTTCCTTGATCTCCATATTTTGGGATATTTGGTCTCTTAAGTTTTAAGCTCTTTCCCAATAAAAATTCATGTGATTCTTAACTGGCAATGAATAATTGCATAAGATGTGCAAATAGTAGGTCAAGAGTACCAGAAATGTTTTGAACCCTGCTTTAATCAAAAGGAGACAAACTATTGTTGAACCTTGGCCTCCTTTTGTCATTATGGAATTATGTTCTATAATTACCACATGCAGACACATATAATGTTAGACCTGGGGTAGAATGACTTAGGAAAAAAAATCTGGTAATCAAATACTCTCATTTGACTGATGAGAAAACTGATTTTTCAAGAGTTACAGTGGTTTGACCAGTATCATATGGATAGGAATCAAGAAGTGTCCTAAAACCAAGGCCAGATTTCTCGATTTAATGTAGAAAATCATGTACCTGAAATGATCTCTTGATCTCAATGGAAATAAGTCAATTAAAATATTGCATATTTGAAATATATTTCTAATTAACTGCATGAGTCATTTGACAGCACTATTTATTTCTATTTTCCTCCAAGGCCTTAAATTGATCTCTAAATTAAGTTCCACAGAGAGTACAACTTGGGACAGTTTAGTTGTCTCTCACTGCACACCCAGGAGTGTTGTTACTGCTGTGTAAGAGGCTGAAGGTTGAAGTTCAGCCAGCTGTGCGTCTCAAGGTCCCTGGGATTTGAAGAAACAGCACAGAGATCTAGTTGTGATAATGCACTGTGTGCCTCTAGTCAGGCTGGCTTCCCCACAGAGGTAAGAATCACAACTCCACAGCAAAGGAGTCATGAGTGGCCCTAAATTTTCACCAGATGATTTCTAGAATTAAAAAAAAAAAACCCTAAAAATTTTGTTCTTGGGAAGTGCCCAAAGGACTCTGCATGGCAGCTTCGCTTGCTGTTGCTCTCCTTGTCATCATAAACTGTCCCAGATGCAGTCTAGCATTGTAGGGTGCCGGATAATAATAAAATAATTTTCTTTGTTCTCTCACAAGTGCCAATGTCAGTGTTTGAGATGCAATCAGAAAAACCACAAAGATGTACAACTATGTTCGGAAACTTAATATTACCAAATTTTGAATTATAAATATTACTGAAATTTGAATCAGGTAAAGAGTAATAGGTTACCATTGTACCCGTTTATTATTTTTGGATAGACTTTTCTCCTATCAGAGAAGACAAAATGGTTTGCTAGTTATAACGTAAATAGAAATCTATAAATACAAAGCAAAGCCAGATAAAATCGAATAGAGTCTGGCTCTGGTCAGCTCAGGTACTCTTAATTATCCAAGCATGTTACTGACTCTGGGATACTACTTGTTTAGAATAAAAGGAACTACATGCATATTTAAGATGTTCTGTTCAGGAGAATAACAATATACATTTATCTTAGTATCTATAGCAAAGTCCCAGAATTGCAGGAGCAAAATATTTCTTATTTAATGATGTATTACACTTCTATTTACAAACAGCTCTCCATTAAGAGTGTCCATTAAGTGTTATATATAATCATATTTCAGAAGGACTGAATGCTCCTAAAAGCAGTAGCTAATACAACAGTCAGGAATCAGAAACATAATAAAGAGAAAGATAAAAAATGTAATTTGAAGATGATATGGCTATAGCACCTAAACCACCTCCAGAAAATCAACTTTAAAACATAAATTAATGAGAATGTTAAGCAACATGGCCAGATATAAGATAAAATGCAGCAATTTATAGATTCCCTACATATCATCAGATATTAGTTAGAAAGCATGAAACATTTTTCATTACAAGAGCAACAAGACCTAAATACTTAGGCATAATACTAGCAGGAAGAAAACTACACAAAAGGAAAGGTTTCCGTAAAATTGGACATGGTCTATGTTTCATATGGAAAGAATATCTGTTCCAATGAAATTGCATATGAATTCAAATTAAATTCCAATGAGACTTTTAAAGTGGGACTTAACAAATCATTTTAAAATTCATCTAAAGAATAGTAGGGCAATAATTGATATGAAAATGAGAAACAGATGTTCTATAAATATTAAAATATATCATGAGGGATAAGGGGTAGCTAAGTGGTAGAGTAAGTTTTTAGTATGTGTGAGGCCCTAGGTTCAATTCCCAGAGCTAATAAATAAATATAATACAATAAAATAAATGATTGATTAAAAAAGAAAACAAGCAAAAATTATGAAACAGGCATAGTGGCACGTGCCAATAATCCCAGCTACTCTACTCAGGCAGTTGAGGCAGGAGGATTGCAAGGCTGAAAACAGTCAAGGTCCCTCCTCAAAATAAAAAATATAAAGGTCTGGGGATGTAGCTCATAGAGTGCTTGCCCAGGATGTGTCAGGCTCTTGGTTCAAATCCCCAATACTGCAAAAGTAGAACAAAACAGAACCAAAACATCATGGAATAGAAGTACATAGGACATCTAAGGTAGAATTGGTTTGAGAATTATTAGAATGATGAATCAGAAAGGAGGTACCAGAAGAGACCCTAGTAACAGAATTTAGTATGTTGTTATTAAAAAAGCATTACAAACTAATAAAAGAAGAGATAATTACTCAGCCAATGTTGTTAATCTATTTGGAAAGTAATTAAGACAGTTTCAATTCACAGTGTATGTCAAAAACCAAAGTAAGTTCCAATAAAGTGCGTTAATGTCCAGATGCAAAAACCAAGAGATTACCAAACAAACAAACAAACAAACAAAAAAACTCCCATGAATATTTAGTTGATATGAAAGGATAAAACTTCTGTAAAAACAAACAAAAAAAATTGGCAAATGTTGTATTTGAAACTATAAAACCCATTCTCCAAGAGTGTCTTCTGTTGAAATATCAAAACACAAAACAAAAATTACATTTGTGAAGCAAATGATAACTGAGGGCATGTTTTCATCAAATATGAGATCCAGCAAAATCAGTAAAATACAGAATTCTTATAAATAGATATGAGAATTACTGCCACCTTGAATACAAGAATGGATAAAATAAAATGAATTTATTTCAGAGAAATCAGAAGAAAAATGTATAAAATTACTAGCAATCAAAGGTATATGAATTTTAAAATAACCCTTCTTTTTAAAATTTTTTTTTCCTTTTCTTTCTGGCTGGAATGATGCTATAAACACCTACACAGAGGATCACAGTGTAGATTGATACATTTTGTTTGGATAGTAATGTGATAAAGTGTTTCCAAGTCCTAAAACTGATTATTCCCTCTGATGCAATACATCTTAGAATAGAACCCTACTCAAAGAAATTAATTAAAGATACAGACAAAGACTAATAAACAATGTTCATCCAAATCTTGTTTAAAATAGTATAAAATTCTCAACAAACTATATGCCCCCGATTATGGATTAAAGACACAATACTGCAATCACAGTATGGACTAATAGTTTTGGAGACAACATATATGGATGTTTGAATATATGAATAAGCCAATATACTCACAAATATTTGGAGGAATAGAAGAAAATATACTAGAATATGGGTAATTATGTTATGTTGTATCATTTAGTATCATATCATGTCATTACTATATCATATTAATTATCCCACATGGTGCCATGATGTATGAGCTTTCTTGGGCTGTGTGCTTTTGGGAACAGCTCACCTGCATAATCCTCTGCACCATAGTCATCTGTAGGGTCTTCGACTCGGCTATAGCGGAAACGCTCCACCTTAGGAAACTCGTTGGTTGGGGAGTATGGCTGCACCGATGTGCCATAGAGGACCAAAGACCATTCTTTCAATTTACCTTGAGAAATAATAATGAAATCACAGCATGACCACATATTCCATCTTTAGCTGCTGAGAACCATAACCAAGTAAGATGCATGGCATTTTTGCCAGAGGGAATGTTTGAGAAAGGTGACCCTGCTCAAGGACCAGGGCGGATCCGGGTTTAGGGCGTTCCAGGTTTAGGGTGTGGATCCTGCTGGGATTAGGGCCTGCAGTTTCACAACCTACCCCCAGCTTCCCCATCCCAAGCATATAAATACCCCTGTGTGAACAATAAAAATTTGCCGCTTGATCAGACTCCTGTCTTGCTGTCACCTTTCGTGTCTCTTGTCCCTTCATTTCTCCCCATCTAGGTTCGCTGCCCACGTTGATGTGTCCTGCCGGTCGGGACATTTAGCTGTATAACTGAAGTCTTTCCCATACAAGAAAAAGCAACAGTAGAATTGTGGGAAGGGTTTGATAGGAATCATTGCATCAGATACTGGACTAGAAATGCACATCTCCCACCCTTTGCAGAATCAACTACTTAATAATTCCTACACCAATAATTCATATACCACATATTTACTGAGCACTCACTATAGACAGACCTTGATTTAATCAGCATTTATGGAAAGCTGGGAAATAAAGATACCCCAGATTGCTAGTTTAAGGGTTGAATTTCAAAATTATGCTTACTTAAGAGAATCCCAGAGTTTTATAGAAGGCTTTGTTTTACTACATATAAAGTTCTTTTCTGAGGTTTAAAAAAATTTTGATGGCATTATCTGACTAGTTACTAAATGGACAAAAAACTCTTTGTACCACTTAATCCCTGAATCAGTCATTCAATATTAGGAATTCATCATTATGAATACTATTCCAATAGTAATTGGACACTCTTGATTATTTAAATTTAAATAAATTTTAAAAAACACTTTGCTTCCTCAATTACAATAACCACATTCCAAATGCTCAGTAGCTACAGATAGCTAGTGGCCACTATACTGGGCGGCACATACATAGACCATTTGGACAGTATTGCACAGAAGGGTGCTATAGTCAAGGACGCCTTGAGGCCTAAGGCAAATATCTCACCTCCCTTGGGTGGCTCATAAGGAAAATTTTACTTTAGCTTGCTCCTTCTTCATCCATTTATTTCTTAGCTTCATAAAATCACAGCATTCAATGCAAAATGTTTAAGAAAAACGGGGGAAACTGCCTCAAGGCCATTAAATTTAATAAGATTCACATCAAAGAAATCAACCATAAGCAGAAGTGATTTAAAACAAAACCATTACAACATGGAAACATGCCAAGAGGAAAGCAGGACCCCTCTCACCTTGGCTTAACAAATGGAATCTGGGCCTGGTCACAGTTGGGTCAAGGGCTAGCTCAGAGTGATGACCTTCAGCTGTCAGGGGTTTTCATCTATTAGCTTCTATAACCTATAAAATCAGTGCCTAACATTTCTAACTGTTTACTATGTGCTAATAAGCACAGGCCGAAATGCTTTGTAAATGTTATTCCATTAATGTGCACAGTGTCTCTGAAGTAAGTACTAAGACTCCCAATATACAGATGGGAAAACTGGGGCATAGAAATAACTTCCCAAAGGGTATGAAGAGGACAAACTAATATTAAAACCCATTCTGAATCCAAATCCTGAGTTCTGATATCATTTTACAATACTGTCTCTCGTTCATTTCTAGGAGTTCAGGAAACTGATGTTTAGAAATAAACATGGAGCTGCTCCTTGATTTATGAGAAGGTTATGTCCTAATAAACCATCACAAGTTGAAACTGTTCTAAGTCAAACATGCATTTAATGTATCTAACCTTTGGAACATCAATCACAGCTTAGCATCATCTACCTTAAATGTGCTCAGAACACTTATATTTGCCTACAGCTGGGCAAGATCATCTAAACACAAGTTTGCTTTATATTACAGTGTTGAATATCTCATGTACACACATTGATAAATGTTTTGTAGACACGACAGGATGTGAAAATACAAAATATAACATGCAAAAACTGGTGGAGGCACATTACATGGTGGAGCATCGGTTATTTCCCCTCATGATTGCGCAGCTAGTGGGAGTATGGCTTGCTGCCATTGCCTAGCATGGTGAGAGATTATCATGCTGCATATTGCTATCCCAGGAAAGCATCAAAAATCAAAATTCTAAGTATGTTTTTCACTGAATGCACATTGTTTTCCCACAGTCATGAAGCTGAAAAATCAGGTTAAGCCATCGTAAGTTAAGGATCTTCTGGATTCTGTGATGCAGTCATTTGTTTCTTACATGTGCACTGGGCCAGTACAGTGGGGTTATGTGTTTTGCCCTTTGCCAGTTTTCCTTTGGACTCATTTGTAAATGGGTATGCTTTTCACTACCAGGCTGCTATTCAGGCTAAGAATTCTAAGCGGCATGCGTTAATTAAGTAGTAGCAAGAAATGAACAATGACTGAAAATTGATGACCTATCTGATTGCCTTGAGGTAGCAAGGCAAGAAAAATCTTCCTTTGCTATGGCATCTCTCAAGTGTTCCAATGAAGCACACAATGCAAGGACACTATAGGTCATCCCATCTATCAGTCATCCTAAAACCTGGTTCATTTTACATCCCAAAATTTGCCTTCCTCAGTGCTTTGAAGCCTCAAACTGATTATGTCTCTTTGTGCCATGTCTGAAGGACACTGTAAGCCCAAGAGGGATATCTTTGCTGGGCAATTCATCTCTTTAATTTTCACTCATTATATAATTTTATTTCCTTAGGCCCTCTGCCATGATTCACATCAAATACTGCCATATTTGGGCATCATTTTTTTTTTGTACCTCTACCACTTTTTCTAAATTCTATAGATTTTTCAGTTTCAGTAACAGACACTGAAACACGCTGTTAAGAAATAGCTGTGTAAATAGAGAAGGAGGAAAATCTATCCTACTTACTAATACATAAATGCAATCTCCATATATAGGTTTAATGTGAAAAATATAAAACCAACCCCAAGCATTCAATATATATTTAATAATAAACAAATGGGGAGAAATAATAAACAAATATAAACCCGGTGTGGAGTCAGGAACCTCTACATTCAGGGAAGAGTCTGCCATTTAATTGAACTAGAAAAAACCCCACATCTCCAGTAGCCTACTACAGACACCCATCACTAATCAGATAGGGAGAAATCTACCACAGGATCCTATGACATAGAAACAAACACAGAAATGTGTAAGCGCACACCCACGCACCACACAAACACACCCATAAATAGGAAAGTGAAAGTTCCTTACCAAAGGTGTAACTAACCTTGACATGAAAGACTGGTTGACATGAAATCATATGTTCTCTGGTATGGAAAAAAAAATACACAAAACCTGTCTTTGGCATGAAAAAAAATCTCTAAAATGATGGACAGTGACTGGGGTTAAATATGAGCATTTAAACAGTACAGTTGTGGGGCTGGGGTTGTAGCTCAGTGGTGGAGCACTTGTCTTGCACATGTGAGGAACTGGTTTTGATCCTTGGCACCACATAAAAATAAATAAACAAAATAAAGATATTGTGTCCAACTATAACAAAAAATATTTTTTTAAAAAATCAATAGTACAGTTGTCTTTTGGTTTCCATGGGTGACTGATTCCAGGATCCCCTGAAGATACCAAAATCCATGGATGCTCAAGACCTTTTTATAAAATGGCAATAGTATTTACACACAACCTACACTTATTCTGTATACTTCAAATACTTCAAGCCATCCATAGATTACTTATACCTGATACAATATGCATGGTATGTAAATAGTTGTTATACTGTATTGTAGAGAGAATATTGACAAGAAAAAAAATCTGTGAATATTTAGTACAGATATAACTTTTTTCCCAAATGTTTTCATCCAAGGTGGTTGAATTCATGAATGTGGACCACACAGGGCCTGTAGATACAGAGTGCTGACTATATAAAGAGAAACCTATGCTATGAAATAGCCAAGGCTAGATTATCTAAGTTATTGCAAAGAGCTCTCAACACAGATAATTATATTGATTCTGGGTAGACTCCAAACTCCTTGAGGACAGAGGGGCTTACATTCATAGCCCCTGACTTGTCTGCTGGGACTGGCTAACTGGTAGCATGGGAGCCGTCTGGTCTTGCTGTGAGGGCAGAACTCCTGGTGGTAATAAAGAAGAGAGTCACTTTTACTTAGTTTTGTTAACTATTTAAAATTCTCCTCAGATGATGCACCCTTTTGTCTGCACTGGTGCATTTGGACAGTATTTGTTTCTATAGGATCTCTTGACATGGAGCCCTGCAGTGATGCCTGCCCATGGATGACCTGCCCTTTGGTCAGGGCAGCCAGCCCAGTCAACACACTGTCATTCCTTCTAAGCACCATGACCCGTTCAAAACTAAGAAGTGAAGCATGAAAAAGAAGAGGAAAGGAGAGAGGGAGAACCTAGGAATTAGGCAGATTATGATGGAGAGGATGTGTCTAGAAACTGTGGTCTATCATCTGTCTTCTCTACCAGCCTTGCCTTGGTGAAATATTTGGTTTCTGGATAAAACCTTGGCCCCCTTTATATTCAGGCTGCAGGCTGGAGGTGAGGTAGACATGGATGCTCTTTAATACAACTTTTATTCTGAGTCACCATTCAGATTTTGGTCTTCCTGATAAAGGGACTACTGTGGCAACATAGATGAACCCCATCACACAACTGGGGGAGAAGAGAGAACCAAAATGTAGTGGTCAAAAATGGATCTCCCAGAATGAGTATTTTTCCTGGATAGGCAGGCAAAATGCTGGGAAACCTGTGCTTTCTCCCAGTATTCTGTTGAGTGCCTTCTCTGCCCCATGCAGCCCATGGAATCCAAATGGTGCACACTCTTTAAGATTGAGAAATATTTGGGTTAATTTATTCTGGAATCAGCAGAGGGCAGGTACTGGATGTCAGTACTAAAATTTTTCCCCAGGTATGGTACTGTAGATGGACTGTACAGGGCGTTGTAAAGGACGGCTTTACCCAATGGTTGAAGGTGTGTCCATGGATGGGTGGGGAAGCTGGGTAGTTATCAAACGGTCATTCATTTCTGAGCCAGCTGCTCTGCAGAGCTCTGTCAGGGGCAACGCAATCTCCCACCTATGCTGCATCCGTACTTTCCTTACTTTGTGTTACAAACAAGCTTCATATGTTTTATGCACGTAACTGAAGAGACCTTTGTTACCATTCTAATTTCCATACTTTGTATATCAAGGTTTTCTTTTTCCTTGGCTCTTAGGCTCAGGCAGGGCAGAATATCATCATTTATTTTCTTTAGTGATAATGAGATTAGTTGGTGTAGGCCAAGCTCAATGTCTTGTCAGAACTGAAAATTAAATTTAGAGAAAACAGAAGAAATAAAAGGAAATAACTAAGGACACCTATCTGTTCTTGTGCAGAAATTATGACCATGCAATTTAAATCATAGTGGATGGACAAGGATGTCTCATTTACAGGCAAAGGTTAGAGATGTGGATCATCTATTCCGAAACATAAATCAATAGCTGTCGTGTTTGGTCCTATACTTACATCTAAATTTTTTCTGCTTATTTCTTTTTCTAAATTATTATCTTTTAATTTCTTGAGAACTGTATTTTTGAAAACTAGACTGTGTACAGATAATTCAAAACACACATGAAATGAATCATGTGAAAAAAGACCATGTTGAAGTGTGTATGCATGGTTTAGCCTCCAGAGGTTCATGTGCTGGAAGTTTGGTCCCCAGTGTGTTGGTGGTGAGGTGGTGGGGCCCAGTGGAAGATAACTAGATCATGGGAGCACCACTCTCATGAATGGATTAATACTAGTCTAATGGGTTGGGTTTTGCAGAAGTGAATTAATTTTTGAGAGAGTAGGTTGTTATAAACCAAGGCCACTTTATATAATTTGTCCTCTCTGCACACACAGTTCATCACTTTCACACATGCTCCCACCAGTGGGATGCCACCCACCATGAGGCTGTCACTAGAGCTGAGCAGATGCTGGTGCCATGTTCTTGAAACTTCAGGAGGGGGAGCTTAATAAACCTCTTTTTTTTTTGGAAAGTATCAGGGATTTTGTTGTAGCATCACTAAACAGATTAAGACAAGTATGGAATGCTCTTTGGCTAAAACATACTCTATCGTTTTCTTGCTGAATAAACTAATTTATAGAACAGGGATTCTCACCTGGAGTCTTGAAATTTCTCAGTTGGGAAGGAGTATCATAAACTTCAAGGATCCAGTCACCAGCAGCTCGTTCTCCCCAGCAGTGAATGGTCATGAACTCCCAGTTTTTAAATCCTTCCATGGAATGATCAAATAGCCTGAAAGAGAACCACAACCACTGTTGTATGCTCTTTCAGATTCAGTGGGAGTACATTGAAGGCCTCATCAGTGGTCTTTTTGTATCCATCAGAGTGTTTAGGTAAGGTAAGCATGGAGCTTGACTTTATCTTGGGTCTCACCAATTAGTAGATCCATACGTATATCATTGCTCTACCACAAGCAAACTGACCTGGGACTGGCCGTGCAAAATCGAACCTCAGGGACAACCATTTGGGAAGCAGGTAAAGCAGGCCAAGGCTCCACCCACAAAACTTCAGTAGAATCACTGAAGATGTGGAGCAACTGGAACTTCTTCACATGCTTGAGGGGAATGTGAAAATGGCACAAAGGATTCGGAAGACAGTTTAAGAGTACTTACAGGGACAAACAGTTACCATAAAACTCAATGATCTCTTTTTCAGATATTCACCAAAGAGAAATGAAGACACATAGGTCCACAAAAAAAATTTCCATGTGGATGTCCACAATTGCCAAATACTGAAAACAACTCAAATGACCATCAACTGGTGAACAAGTAAACAAATTACAGAATATGAATACAATGAAATACTACCCAGTAACAAAAGACTAATGAACCATCAATATATACACCAACATGAATGAATTTAAAAGCATTATGTTAAGTAAAAGAAACCACACACAAAAACTATATACTATATGATTCCATTTATACCAATTTCTAGAAACAGCAAAACTATAAGTAAAAAACAGATGAGTAGTTGCCAGGGACTGGGGAAGGGATATGAGAAGATGCATGGGACAAATTTTGAGGGTGATAGAATTGTTTTATAATTTGAAAGTAATGGTTATATAGCTATATATAGCTATTTAGTTTGTCAAGACTCACAGAATTATTTCCTAAAAAGGTGAATTGTATTATATAGAAATTATGGCTCAGTATCAAGACTGCCTGCTACTCTTATCCACTTGAGATAGTCCTGCCTGGAATCCCAGCTAAGAGTCTGCTTTATTGGCCTTTCTAATACATTTTTTTAAGCTCTTAATTCCCTATATGAAATAGCTTTCTGCTTGAAATAGCTAGAATTATTCTGCTTGCTGTGATGGAATCCTGAGGCATACAAAATGTGAAAGAAAATCCTTATCAAGGGTAAAGAGTTGTCAATAATGTGTAAAAACAGGTACAGTGAGAAACAGGCATATCATTTATATAGGTATCTATGCAAATAAATGTGACTACACAAATAACTATCCAAAAGGTGTCAAAGACATCTGTAAAGATGGAGCATGCAAGTGGAAAGCAAACGATGGGGCAAGATATAGATGTTTTTTACTGCTTTTCTTTTTTCAGATTATGTACATTTACTGTTTTATTGAAAAAAAATGACAAAGTAAGAATAAGTTGAGGATCAAAGAGGCAAACAGAGAAGGAATATATCTCTAGCACTGTCTTAGGAGCAGTCACGTCCAGTTACTGCTCTTCAGAGGGAATGAGAGCTAAAGGCCATGGAAACTGGATGTTGGTGGCAATCAACTCTTCTTGCTTTAATTTCATGTTCCCCAAGTAAATTGTTACAATTTGACCTTCTATGTAGATCTTCCCTTTGGAAGGAAATATGCTCTTCTTCTTTTTTTTCTTTTAATATTTTTAATTGTAGATGGACACAATGCCTTTATTTTATTTATTTTTATGTGGTGCCTAGGAACCCAGTGCCTCACATGTGCAAGGCAAGCCCTGCAATCCAAGCTCATATATGCTTTTCTTAAAACTAAAAAAAAAAAAAAAAAAAAACCAACCCCAAAAAACAAAACAAAACTGCTTTAACTTCCTTAAAACTTGGTGTATTAGATATCCGATTTTTAAAAAAGCAATTTGATTAATGTATTTGAGGCTCCCTCTAAAATGTTAGTTGAATTCTGTAGCTGAAGGGTGCAGTAGTACAAATTTGGATGTGCTAGCAGGTGAATAGCTATTCCCTAGAGAAAGACAATAAACAAGAAAACCACCTGCTATGTGTTCCTGAGCCCTTCAAAGAAAGAAAATTAAAATTATTACACAGCTTTCTCAATTGTCTTTGTCAAAAATTCTGGAAAGACTGAATTAAACAAAATTACACAGATCCCTTTCATGGAAAATAATTCAGATCTTTGGAATATGCAAATGTGCTTTGTTAATCTTCTTAATGGAGTTAATGGCAGGCAGTGATTTTCAAATCTAAGAGTAGGCTAATGAAGCCTCGCCTTTTTTTTTCTTTAGAATATTCGTATGCTATCTGTATAGGTTACCTTTTTGAACACAATTGTACAATACATCATTGAGGCCCACAGTGGATCTGGTGGTGTTCCTCTATAATGACAGGGATGTAAATGGTGTCTTCTTAATGTGACTGTTTTACCACCATAATTGGTTCTCCATAGAGTCAGAATGGTATATTTTAGGGAGAATCCATGATCCAGTGCACAACCACAAGAAGACTGTTTTCTTAAGTTTATGGCTTACAAGAGGACTTGGCCAAGAAAAAATTGCTGGGCCATTATGTAATGGACTATATCCATAGACTCCTTCACTGAACACCTAGGATGTGTGTATGCTGGGCACAAGGTAACTCATAGACAGAGGAAGAGGAACTTTCTCCAGGTTGCCTTTCCTGCCAGGTATGTTACTGGGGAAATGTGCTGACATGGAAATGGGTAGAGGCAAAAAACTAATTTGAAGCCACTTCCTTCCTTACCTTCTGCAGCTCTAACTCGCCCTCTAATTCCTTGAGGCCTTGGTGCCATTCGAGGGCAGTGAAGCAATAACTTGTCACATAATACCTCTCCTAGAGTGCTGAACTTAAAAGCAGTTCCCAAACAGTTTAGACAGAACATTTGGCTCATTGCCTCACATCCAAAAACTACAAAGGAGACTCGAGGCTGCCATCACATGAGGGGCAGCCTTGTTTCCACAGCCTCAGCCAACTTCTAATTACTCACGGGTCAATTATTTCACTGCTGGATTAACAGCCCCATGTTTCCTCCTTTCCACCCTTTCTTGTCCACCTTTGAAAACCACTCTCTTGCTACCATTCACTTTCTAATCACATTTGGGACAAAAACTTAAATATAAACAGGGTGCCAAAGAGAAATATTTGCAAATCACAATTCAAATCAGTGTTTCAAAGCTCAAATAGAAATGGGCTTTGTCTACATTTGCCTATGTCTGTGGCTAAGTAGTTTCCCAGCCCCTGGTTGCTTCACTTTACAGACTTGGAATGTTCATTGATTTTGTGTGAATATAAAAGTTGAAGAGAGAAATGAAAATGTAAGCCGAACGTGACCATTACTTTTTGCCAAAAGAGTTGCTGTGGAAAGAAACAGATACGGATTGTTGTGGTGTCAACCTAAGGGACAGTTATATTTCCAGTCTCAGCCTGTCTTTATAGGCACAGATGATTCAAATGGGGATGCATGCTTTCGTATTTTCATTCTGATTTAATATGTGGATTATTCCATATTTGGAGCATTGTACCATTTAAAAAAAATGCATCCTTTGTGTATAATAAAAGGCAATGTAAATTGTAGATTAGCTTGGTGTTGCAAAGAACATATTTGCCCAAAACAATCAAGTGTGAAACTACGGACATCTGTGAAGGAGGTAGTTGTGGGGTCACCCTTTATCAAGTTGATTGCCCAGTTTAAACATCTATACTGTGCCAACAGAGGGGAATCCTGATACATGCCAACATTATTAGTGTTGGTAAAGTATTATTAAATCAGAGGCAGTGTGCTGAAAGTCAGAGTGGATAAACTCCATGTGTGGATTCACTTCTGCTGTAGTGAAATCCAGTTTTGTCAAAGCTGACCTCATAATTATGTGGATAAAACGATATATGTGGCACAGATTACACACTCAGTTATTAAAATGGTGCCCACAGCTCTATCCCTGAGAGCAATTTTCAAATAAGTTGCTTTGAATGAAGCCTGGGAGAAAAGACTTCCATTAAGTGTAGTACATCCTTTTGAGGAATTAACTCACGAAATAACTCATGCAATTACTGTAAGCTTTTTCCCCTTTCACTTACAGAGTTTAGCCAATGTATCAGACTACCAAATTCCTTTATGATGATACGCCAGCTAAATAACAAGGCATTTAAAAATATCAATAGCCATGTGTTACCATATAATTATTTCTAAAATTGTAGGTGGATCTTTATTTTAGAATTACCCACAGCTACTTGAAGAGTATTTCTCACTATGAAATTAGACCAATATCCTCAGAAGATTTCCTTTTTCTATTTTATTTATTTTTTTAATAATTTTTAAATGCCTCATTATAATTGAAAAGGTACAGCAGACTGAATGCCTGAAACATTCATTGGGTTCAACTGTAATTGAGTGTTCGGTTTTCTTTAGATGTTTGGTCTCTGTAATGTTCAGATCATTTGCTTTTGATAGAAGGTATTTAAAATGCACTATTTGTCTTTTCTCTTTCCTAATCTAAATTGCTTATTTAAGAAAGGTTGAAAGAAAGGTACTGGGTGTTCTAGAAGTTTGGAAAATCTGAAATGATGACTATTTATTTTTTGTGTTTCAATATGCATATTATTATCAATCCCACGTGCATTCCTTCTTGTGGGTATATGATATAAATATTGGTCTTCTTGAAGCTTTTTTCCATTTTGTAGTGGATGACTTTTATCTAAGAATCTGTTTTATATTATAGATTCCTTCGTAAATTATTTACACAACATCCAGCAGCATATTACTCACAAGTCTTGTTATGACACAAAAATATCAAGAATATGTGTGTGAAAAAGCTGAGTGAGCTTATATGGGGCCAAGGTGTAATCTATGGACAGGAAGCTTTACTCTCTCCTGGGAGCACATTAGAAACGCAAATCCTGGGAGCTGACCCTAGACCTACAGGATTGGAATCTCAGGGATAGTGAACTGGCCATCTGTGTTTGATAGACCCTTTTACCAGGTGCTTTCAGAGGCACTGTGTAAACACTTCTTACTAAGTGCTTACCTTGCTAGG